CTTCTGATCCATGAAGCTTTTATTTTGACAATTTGATTGGAATGGTATTAAACCTGAGTATTTCACATACATGAAATGTTGTCCCATGTCACATATTGTCCCTTTTCTAACTAAACACCACATGTAGAGATGTAAAGGTGTGTTAATCTAGGGTTCATACCAGATTGTTTGCCATAAATTCCAAAGGGCTATTGATGCATGAAAAGCATTTTCTATAAAGTAAAAATGTCTTCCTATGTATGCAGATAAACCTTGAAATTTGGCAAAACAACAAAGTATTTTTCATGATCACTAGGTAATTTTCTGATGATCATTATAATTTCTAAACTAAATTATTTCAGATTTACATTTAAACGAGCTTTGATCTTATGAATAGATATTTATCATAACCAGTAAGCATGACACATGAACCAGTTTTAACATTCATGTAATTACAAAATTAAAGACATGTTGATTACATTCTGTTTGTATTTGCAAATACAATGCTAGCAGTGATTGCTATATAGCACACCTTGCATATACTTACAGAAGATAATAGTCTTGTGAAATGCCTAATAAATATTTATGGCATTAAGCTGTCCTTAACTGCAAATTTTCACTCTGATAATTTTGCTTAATCTTTGGCAGAAAAAAATTTTGAGTTTTTTCTCATAAAGTGAATTTGCTGGCACTGATGTGGAGATGGGTGAAGGGTTACATTAAACTTACATGGTTTGAAGTCTGAGCTTTTCTATATCTATGAACTGTCACTTGTAGTACCAAATTTCTAACTTAACTCATTACATAGAGGTTTGAATGGGGTCTCTAGGGGGTCTATGCATGACAACTTGGTAGAAATTTTTAAAGACTATATTTGTTTTGGAATAGCATTATTGTAAAATAAATTTTACATTCCTAGACATGCTAATAAGCCATATACTTGGCATGGTAATGAGCCTAAATATTTGGCAAAACATTCAAGTATTGTTCACTTATTATTTTTTTGAAAAACACGTAAGCAAAATGTGTTGTTTTTACGCAAAAACGATGCCCACAAAATACATTTTGTATTGCTCTAAAACGCTGAAAATGGCATTTTCAAAGCTCTGAAATTCAAAATTTCTAAGGGGAGAATGCCTCAGACCTGCCCCAGGTGCGGAGCGCCTGACGTTTTATGACTGATGTTTGAAAATCCTAGATCCGCCCCTGACGCCGTATAGCCTTTTACAAACCAAAAAGTTATTCATTAGATATGCATTCTTTGCTGTCAACCACTATTATTCTCGACCACTGTTATTGTCGACCACCCAATAATTTTCTATTTTCTATAACTTAGTATAAAGTCAATCCCGTTCCACCAGTAAAGATATTAGTTTATTTTATACAGTTCCTTAGTGGAATTAGTGGTGACCATTGAGTTCTATAATAACTAGAGCGGCTTTAGATATCGGATGTTTTAAAATCATGGCGGATTTCGTCCTCTTCCGCTGAGATTTACCGAAAATGACTGTTTCCAAAATGTCACTACTTTCCACTTCCCTCTCAAGAAAGGAGCAAGGAAAAAGTATGTGTAATATTTGGCATTTGGCATGCAATTTTTGATGAAAACTGGTAAAAACATAAAATTATAACAGCGAGTCAACTGTGGTTGCCAGTTTTGCCTTTATAACATCGATGAAGGAGCTATTCGTCAGTCACATAAGAACCATATTACCAGCTTAGTCAAGTAAGAAACTTGTTCGCTCGCTGAAACTTTTAGCCTATCGATGACTTGCCTTGTTTACATTTTTCCGGGAGGTTGATTGATCCTAAAAGAGGTTAACCACTGTGGCTCGTTTTGTCTCAAAGCACTCGACCAAATCTGCACAACTAGCAAAACATAAACTAGGGCATCATTTTATACAAAAATTATACCATAGTTTATCTTACCATTCTAGAGAGAAAGGTTAGTTTTTTCGTTATCATTATTTTTGCCTGTTTTCATGCATTGGGTGATGGCTTTTTGCCAAAATTGTACAATTTGTACTTGTTGCTTTAGATAAATAACTTATAAATCTTTGGATAGTTGCAGCTGACTTATTGTATATGATTTTCTGTGATTAAATTTATAATAAATTTCAAGAACACTCGAGTTTGCATAAATTTGATGAATGAAAACAATCAATACTGTATATAAATCACTAAGTTACATTTAAGTTACATTTTAAGTTACATTTTAGGTTAACCACTGTCACATATTACCAGCTTAGTCAAGTAAGAAACTTGTTCGCTCGCTGAAACTTTAGCCTATCGATGACTTGCCTTGTTTACATTTTTCCGGGAGGTTGATTGATCCCAAAAAGAGGTTAACCACTGTGGCTCGTTTTGTCTCAAAGCACTCGACCAAATCTGCCAACCAGCAAACGTAAACTAGGCACATCATTTATACAAAAATTATACCATTGTTTATCTTTACCATTCTAGAGAAAGGTTAGTTTTTCGTTATCATTACTTTTTTGCCTGTTTTCATGCATTGGGTGATGGCTTTTTTTGCCAAAATTGTACAATTTGTACTTGTTGCTTTAGATAAATAACTTATAAATCTTTGGATAGTTACAGCTTGACTTATTGTATATGATTTTCTGTGATTAAATTTATAATAAATTTCAAGAACACTCGAGTTTGCATAAATTTGATGAATGAAAACAATCAATACTGTATATAAATCACTAAGTTACATTTTTGTTGTGTTCTGAACTGCAACTGCATCAAATACTATTACATGTAAAGTTCTTACACATTTTGATTTTGTTGTATTGAGATATTTCATAGGCAAAATGTAAATAATCATGAAAACACTTGTGCTTGCAATATGATTTATAATTGAAGCTTGTGAATACATAATTGTGTTTATTAAGTTTATTAAGGTAAAAGGACATTAGATTTGACTTTGTGTTTCGAAACTATTACTTAATTTGTTACTTTTATCATATTTTAGTTCCATTTCCGCTTTAAGTTTGTGATGTTGAAGGAATTGCAAACGAAATAGAATACACAAACCTTCTTGAATGATGTTTGAAGGAGCTGAATAAACAAGTTTATCGAGATAATATCAGCTAGTAAAAGTTAAAAATTATGAGAGAAAGAATATAGGAAATTGTTAATGTTTTTCCTGAAGTAGTATATATGCTTCAAATTGAGTAAAGTTCTAAAAAGTTATTTAGTGATGAAACCTGTGAGAGCTGTTGCTGGTTTCATAAATGTGCAAATAATATGCAATGATGGTGCATTATTGGAAAGCATCTTGTCATTTTAATTATATTCTTTTCAAGTATATTCCACACCACGCCTGTATTAACAGTTTTCAAACATCTTCAATGTATATAGGAGAGTTAAATATTCATCCTTACACGTGTTATAGTAATTAAACTGAAATATAGAATTCTTTTTGTATTGTGTTCAAGGTTACTAAGGATCAAAATTAGAAAATTATGTGCCTGTTTAGCAGTCAAAAAGAATGAAACAGTTCTTGAGAGCCGCATTTTTGTTGAAGTTATTTCACTTGCTGTTCATATATTTTTATACAAAATTTAACAATATGTAATGCAATTGCACAATTTGAAGAAGGAAAGATCTTAAGAAAATTGATTAAAGTTAAAGCTCATATCTCATTATTTTTAATTGTGCTGGTGATGCTTGAAACATGCAGAGGGCTGCGCCTAAGGAAGAACATCCTGTTTAAAAACCTTTGCCAGAATGAAAATATAAATCAGTTTTATGGTTTGATATCAGATCAGTCGCATATAGACTGCCTGAACTGGAATTGATTACAGTATGTCTACAAAAGGAGTGAAACGTATCTTCAAAGAGAAAGAGAAGAGAAGAAACAGAGTTGAGCATAAAGTAAGAATCTTAAATGTTTGATAATGAAAGTAAAATGCAAGACAGTTATTGGATATAAGTATTGGGAAAACGTAAATATCTTAGGAAAGAGCTGGAAGATTACAGCAAGATTCGCAATGGGTAGACAATATATCATAACAGGTTCGTAGCTTTGAAGATATTTGAAAAAGGAAAAGACGCTGGTAAAGAATAAAACAAAATATTATGCTAACAATCGTCAAATACATTTAAAACAAGTAATTGAAAAGAAAATAAATATTAACAAACATTAAGAATAATGATGAAGCCATGCATGCGCCGGCAAGACAACACGACAACTAGATATCTTTTCAACAAGCTCGTTAGTTCATTCAATCTATTTCTAAGCATTTGAAAATCTCATTTCAATTGATGACTGTCAGTTTTTTTAAGTCACTTAAGTTTGCCCATCAGTTTTATTATTATAGGTTGAAGTGTGGATGGATTTCAAATCAAATGAATTAAACTTTCCACTGGTAGAATGTAAAATGAGGGAAAAATTATAGTGCAAAAGATGAAGTGGTATGGAGTATTTTATGATATGAGGATAGTGATTTTTCACTTTAGGGACATGGTGGTGCAGGCAACCGACGTTATGGGGAATAAATGAGCAAGTTTAGCACTCACGATAGGAGCATAGAATGACAGATGGTGGTGGAGTTGACAAAAAAAACTATAGAAATGACTGTATTATATAAATTTTAACAGAAAGGATAGTAACATCACGTGAATGTAGTGGCAGATGAACGTGTATCCAGATAGCACAAAGTGGCAGTGTGGATGATAGCTATAGTGGAGAGGATGATAAATTGGACAAAGACATTTAAAGAGCAAAGTATTAGAGAGGTGGAAGGAAGGAACATGGTGATCAGGATGTAAGCCCAGGACTGGCAAATGTGATCCGGGAGACGGGTGTGTGGAAGGAAAGAAGAGATGAAGGGAATGGTAGTGGAAAGAATGAAAGAGTGGAATATAATGAAAGATAGTAAATGGAGCACATGAGCAATATCATAATGTTAAATCTGTAGGGCAAAAAAACAAAACAAAGGGTATACGATGACTTGTTTTGTTGATAGGATTGTCTAGAAGGAAAGAATGATTCATATAGAGTAGCAACTCACCTGGTACAAAAAATAGATCCAAAAGATATGCAGTATATTAGAGTTATTAAGTACAAACATGGAAATCTAGTAAAGATAACAAAAGTGTGATAAAAGATGGCAAAAATTGCGAAGAATTGATGAATAAGAAAATAAGAGCTATAAGTGTAAGATAGGTGGCTGAATTAGATAAAAATGTTGTAATTATTAGTAAAGATGAAAGTTTGACATTAAAGATCTTTTGGCCTTGAAGACATACTTGTAAAACCTGAAAATGTTCAGAAGAGTAAAAGTGTCAGCTTCCAGCACAAAAAGAGGAGCAGAGCACTTTCCTTCAGCTATGAGTTTAACATTTATGTTCTCGTAATGTAAAGCACACGGTACTGCGTTTTTGGCATGACGTAACTAAGACAGCTCAAGACATCAGATCTATAAACGAAATCGTTAGTACATAATTAAAACACATAGTTACACAAAGTTAGAACACACAGAATTTACACTGATAAGACTTATCGCCAAAATGACAGGATACAAGTTTAATATCAGAACGTGAGTACGCCATATCGCTCCAGTAAAAAGTACCTCAGAGGACCCCAAAAAATCTCACCAGACCGACAGAAATTAAAAAATAGGTACGCAGTTCGTACATGGGGTAGCTTTGACCGCAATATAGAAAACAAACAGAAGTCAGTAGTCTGGCTTTACTGTGCTATTGTGCATTTTTCATTAAATTCAATTCTGGGTGTGATTAGCCATCTCAGCGTTTCTACTGGTCAGACAATGGAAATTACTTTCTTTATTACGTTTATTACATAAGCAATAGAATATTACTACACAAAAAAATTCAGTAGAGTGGTAGGACTGTTTTCGTTCCATGCTGTGGCCTTATGATGAATAACGTATAAATGTAACGTTCATAAAACTGAAAATAAAAACATTTTTAGATAATTCACAAGGTCATCGAAGGCTACCCGCAAAAACGACTTTGACAGATTAAGTCTCATGTAAAAAATTCTGAAATCAGTTGTAGATTACATACCATTTATACACATCTTTATTGCAATGCTATAGTAGAGTTGTTTCAAAGGGACTTTTCCTGTTAAATTTTTAAGCATGTATAATCCAAACAACAACATTAAATTGTTTACCATGCAGGTATGCACACACTGTTTGTTTATTACTTAAAGCAAATTTCAAAAAAGCAAGACATCTTGAGATTGCAAAATATGCATCAAAGCAAGACGAGAAGTGAAATGTAAATTTCGACTTAATTTCAAATCATCCTCAGACAGAATGATGTTTAAAACCATACATACACATATATATTTACAACGCATGAAACAAGTAAACAGAAGTAAGCAATGTCGGCTGGTCATAGCTTTTATTACTGAAAGGAACAAAAAATATGTTATTTCAATTATATTTTCATCAGATAAAATTTTCAATATGACACTAGACTTTACAAAAATAGTCTATGCATGTCTCTTTTCATTTTCAAGATACCTAGCTTTTTGTTTACTGTAAAACCTAATTTACAAAACAAGTGACATCACAATGCATATCAACAACTTGAATTACCAAATGGCAAATATATTCATCAGCCGGGCATGCAGAGTTCCTGCTATGAGCTGTTATGATATAAAATTCTGCTTCTGCATTTCATGAAAGAGTTGCAATAAAACAATAACAAAATTTTCAGTGACGATATAGTGCTGCAAGTATAAGAACATTACTACTTTTACTTGCTTTCACACTAGTTGTAAAACTAAACGTCGAGTAGCTGGCGAAAAATTGAGTTTATCAAACAAACACAAAGAAATGAAGCAAATGTACGAAAAATTTCCATAGGAGATATCACTGATGACGAGGAATACTTTATATTCCTATAAGAATGAAGCTGAACAAATAAAACTTGATTTACATAAAATTAAAATGAAAACTGATATTATAGGATTTATATCCATTAAACGTAATGATTGTATAACGATTTCTCGCATGTCTAGTGTGATTGAGGAGCCTGATTGGAAAAGAGTGGCAGAAAAATTAAGGAAATTAAGTGCTTTGTTTGAATTACGAAAAATTGCAAATAACCTGACGTGTTTCCCCAATAGCCTTATCAACATTGGTCGTAAGCTTCCTTTTCTGAAAGAAAGAGAGATTCATTAGTGCTAATATATTTCTACAGTGAGGGCACGGAAGAGCACATAGATCTTGGGTATGGAGTTTGTGAACATAAGAAGCTGTTAAGACTGCTTATTCAGTCTTTAGAATAAACGATGCGTTGAAGCAATGTATAGAGTATCCACTATGGTAATCACATGCGCGTAATAAGATGTGGGTGGCACTTATTACATAGCACAACACAAACTGATGTGTTTTTTGTACAAATATAGATATACAGAAAAATACCTTATAGAGATTTCAATTTTCTTCCACACAATTCACGAAAAACTTCGAAGAAGAAATAACCATAGAATAAACCTCTGTTTTTATCGTTTTTAAATAGCTCTTTTCAGGGTGCCCGTTGCAATCTGATAGTTCGGATACCAGTTGTCTTGCTCATCCAGATCACATAGCAGTTATGCAAATGTAATAGGTCGAGACAGGGAGGATCACTTCTTATTATGTAAATCATGTGATCCGAAAAGCATGTAATTTAGGAAAAGTTGAATAAGCTTCGATTAATTTTGCAAATATAGAAAAATACAGTCAAAATGTCGGGGCTTCAGTTTCAAATTTTTGTTTGCTATCTCGTGAAAATTTTTTTATGTATTATATTATATGCAGTTGAATACAATAATTTATGCGTATTTAAGCTAATTTATTTTGTATGTTATCTATATTTCAAGCTGCTTTTCGATTCATCTTTTTAAGCAAACATTTTTGGCTTTGCTAGCATCTGTGTTTCGAAGTACGACTACAGTTCACAAGAGCTCATTTTCGACATTTTTTTAACAAAGTGGCCATACTTACGGCCCGTAGAAGGACTTTTGCTACGCTGAATAATTTACAGCAGTGTTATTAAAAACTTAAATAATGAAAAATTTCGATATTACTACAACTTTAGAAGGGTTGTGTAGTTTAGTGTAAGTGTTAAAGATTTGGTGGGATGCGATATCGGTTGGAAACTAGCTCCGCCATCATATTTTTAATATGATAAATATTTACTTCTTCATAAAATGAATTTTATCTTTAATTTTTTTTCAATAAACAATATAGCTGAGAAAACATCTTAGAAGAAAATTTTCTGTATTTCACATATTATTTATGTATTTCGGCATTTTTCTATCTACTATTTGTATATACATTATTTAGTGTTATACATTTAGAATATCATACAATATTTGCAACTGGCGTTATACATATTATGAAATAAAGTAATAAACACAAGCAATAATAGTACATATTAACCAACCTTAACAATCTTAGCAGTTTGACTTTTTTCTTTTATATATTTTCTTATAGGCCGCAGAACACTCAGACTCAAGTTTAGTACTTTCTTTTGACAAACCTCTTTGGAAAACGAAACTGCGTAATATTGTTATTCCAATCCCACGTCGTTACAGGTGATTTATTCAATGATTCTACGTATTTCTATTATATAATAGCGTAGCCATCCCGCAAATTTACTTCCGCTATGCAAATTCTGAAAGATTACCATTATTCATTTCATTAGAAATCTATTGTTCTCACTGTCAGTAAACACAAAAATATTTGCATAGAGGGAATAAAAGTCGGCTAGCTACGCTACAGCATATATTAAAGTGAATAGTTTGAGCACAGAGTGTCATAATATGTTTGGAGATGTCCTTAAGAAAGGTTAACCCAACTTCAGCACTTTGGTATGTGTTAAACTCTAAATTATCAATCAAACAATGATACAGTTTTGAAATTTTAAAGACTATAGTGTTTATAGTCTATGGAATTTTATGTTGCTTGATGCATTTTATAAAAAGGCAGGCGTAAGCTCCTGGAAGTTTTCGTCAAAAATTGCGCTCTTTCACAAATCACCATTGAGAATTGAGTATGAACGTTTTAGACCAACTTTTTTGGTTAACTACTTTGTGTTGTATGTTTGATTATGTATAGTATTATCGATGCTTATGTAAAATTAGTCATTATGTAAAAGGCAAAGGGTTTTCGAGGAAGGAAGTTTTCTTACAACTGCCAGTAAAGTCGTAAGAAAAGCAAATAATTAGGAGTAAAACAAACTCTGGTATACAAAGTTCTACCTCTTTCAGGCCATTTTGAACTATTGAACTACATAACTACTGGGACATTTACCCAGTAAACTTTCCGATGTAGTGAACTTTGACTGTGATATACTGTTTGAATGGATCTATTTCTAAACACAAAGGAGGGTTTTGAGTTATGAAATGTAACACATTATAATTGAAATCACATTATTATTATTGAAAACATTATTATTGAAAACATAGTCGTGATGTTAGCATTTTTCATACAACTTCATGTTGGGAGCACTTAATGTATCGTAATTGTATTTATGATGAGCCACTTCAAAAATTCATATGTGAAATTAGAAACCTGCATTTGAATATTAATAATTTCACATAGCTATGAACTCCATTGTTTGAGGTTCCAATCTGAGAATATCGTAATTGCGTTTTGACCATGCGGCAGGGAAGAACATACGTAATGTTACAGTTGAAAGTGTGGGAGTTTCCATTAACGTAGTCACATTTATCTACACACCCAGAGAAAACCCTGAGGAGTAATTAAAACGAAATGTTTATTTGTGCGAGATTGAGCATTGGTTGCAAGCAACTATACATGAGAACCAAACCACAGTATAGGAATATACAGTAGGGCCACTTCGCTGTGCAACTGGCTGCCGTATATTTAATTAGTTTACTATTGCCGTTTGCCATATCGTCAATCCTATTGGTCACAAAATGCAATTTACCGGCTGCCAATATGGTAATCACATGCGTAATAAGATATGCGTGGCACTAAAAAATTCAATGGAGTGGCTCTACTGTACGTTCTCTATACTGTAACCAAACGCTAGATTAAAATACACCTCGCATATTAAATTGAAAATAATATGTTATTCAAATAATAATTGTACTTTCTTTAATGTCGTTCGCATACTAGTCGAGGACCTTTATAAGAGTTTGTACGCACTTCATTTATTCGAAGTAATTTCAATTGTTCTTAGGTAAAATGATCTTAACGAACAACATAGCATATGTGCCATTTTCTCAATCCTAACAAAAGTCCAGAAATCGAGACCCTAAAATGGCAGTGTTGACATGTCTCTAACTTCGAAAGCAAAATGAAATAACCTTTCTAAGGCAATTATTGGTCTAAAACGTTCAATTTTAGGGGTGCATGGTCATTTGAGGAAAAAATTTGCTTAAGTTCAATATTTACTAAGAAAATTACCATTCACCATCTCTGGGCAAATGTTAATTTTGCATAAATTAACAAATATTCTTAACAGAGATTGAATTTTACATTTCCAAAGAAATAATCACATGAGACAAAAGAAGATTTAACTCACTTTAATTATGAATTCTTTTAAAGCGATTGACATTATTTTGTTGACATACGAAGCACTATATTTTACCTACCTTCCTCAAAACACCTTTCGACCATATTTTACCATCTTGTATGCTTTTTCTGTCGTTCTTCCAAGAATTTGTTGCTTCTTGTTCATTTTCGTGATTATTAATTGCAAAATAACATTTTGGGCCAGTTTCGTCATGTTTGGATGCATTGGATGCAGTGGACAGTTTTATCTTAAACATCTTGCACAAGGACATTCTGTCAGAATGCTGCCATTTCAAAGTATCGTCACGTCTTTGCCCGATGCATTATGGACTTTATGCTAGAGCAGTTCAATTTCCAAACTTGCGTTATTGTAGGCCTTAGTGCCTCAAAATTTATGTCGTTGCGTCGTGACCGAAATCGACTTTCTCTCGCTCCAGAAACTTTCTTGTGACTAACTTAGAAACACCAGTGATAAACTATCAACAACTTCAACAATAATTAAGCAAAGCAAATTCATACATGTTCCTGAACCAATTCAAAATAGAATTCACAATTAAATTCTATATTCCATCACTGACCATTTACAATGTACACCTTAAACACCATCAATGTTTGTCAATATTCGCAAAGTGACCTCAAAATTTGATAAAATTATTGACAAACGGAAACGTCTAATGCATTGATTATTCCCGCATTGGTTATTACAAAGTAAACGCACCATGCTTTAAAAGTATTAGTGATTAAATGTACCTTTAAGTCTTTAAGCCTCGAGAGGCTTAATAAAGTTCTTCGGACTTTAATTAAGATGGGAGGGATACATTTTCACCAATTAAACGCTTGCTTTCATGTCAATGTAAATAAAATGGCGAAATATTTAGAGGATTAGACTTTGAATTGAACCATTTACAAGACTGTTGCAAGATATATGAGTAGATTCCTAGACATATATTAAGATGTATCATAGTATTAAAATTGCGTTTCTGACTTATTTTATATGCAGTATATGCCAGTGCTAATATCACCTGTTCTGCTAAGCTACAAACTCATTTAATTTTAATGCCACTGAAAGAAAATTATACCGCCGCTAATATAGGTGCGAAAGCACGAGATTATTTTTTTCTAATTATTACACCTTGATAACCTTGGCTGCATTTATCTGTTCAATAGAATAAAAAGCTTTGATAGAAGAAACCGGTAATGATAGTAATTCTGGTGATGATCTTCGACCATGTTTCTTTTTTGAGTGGAGCTTCATTTGTAACCTTATAAAGCTGGCTAGGTGCTCAGGAGGCTTTAGTGCAGCTTCTAATGTGCATTCAATATCCTTCTGTTCACCAAATTTTTTATCTTTTTGCTCAGCCTTCGTATTAGTCCTAAACGACAAATCTACTGTGAAATTGCCTTTCAATATCATACACGTTGTAAAAACATTGATCTCGTAGCCAATACAAATCAATGAAAGAAACTTATAAAACCCGTAGAATACGAATGACGAACGTATATTGTATTAAAACTATTTCTTACCTTATTTCCTTTATATCCTGCTTAAAGACATTAAAATTGTTGTCCATATGTGAATCAAAACCCATCAAGTTTACGAAAAACAGCTCTCCATAATATTAATCTAT